GCGTCGCCCTGTCTTCAACCACCCCAGGCACAACGCGCTTGTCAATGTTACCATCAACTTCAACGGGGTCGGACAGGGCCATGACCAGCTAGTTGAGAAGGACGGGAAGATGGTGCGGCCCCGGCAGCTTCCCCCTGGGTTGGGTCCCGCACCTGGACGGGACAGTGCCATGTCCGCAGATGTGGCAGCAGGACTTGAAAAGGCGGCATCAGCCGCTCGTGCTGCACAGCCTGTCAGAAGTGAGCATGCTGGATGCTTGGGCAGGGTGAGCGCAGAGGTTGATGCCAGGCCTGAAGCACGGCTCCCTTACATCTTTCCCGCGATTCATCCAACCCTCAGGTTTACCAGCAGTGCATGATGTGGATCGTCACAGGCAACCCACAGGTGCGCCTGACGTGCTTCATTTCAAGGCACATGATGCGCGCAGCCAACCGCATCAGAGCGTGAGTACGGCACAGCAAGACTTGACGCAGCTGCGTGAGGTGTGCACGCCGCTCAGCTGGTGCGCCGTCCGCACTGAACCCCACCCGTGCACCCTTCACTGTCTCCGGCAGTACGCCAACAACACAGCGAGCATCCTGTGGGCGTGGAGCACCATCAACAAGATATTCGTGGGGCAGAACGCGCCGCTGGTGAGGGCTCGGGCGCCTGCGCTCGCCGCGCGGTCAGCTTCTGCACGCGTGCCTCGACGGCCGCGCCCACCTGCACCCGTCGCCGCCGCTGAGGCCCCCGCTCCGGTCTGGCCCCGTCGGCTGCAGGAGGCGGGGTGGGGCGTGGACAGCATGACGCGCAGCGCTGAACTACTGAAGTACACGTGGCCGGGCTGGACCAAGGAGCTGGAGACCACATACATCAAGTAGGCTCGTCAGGCGGTTGGGGAGACGCAGGGTGTAGAGACTTGGGCCCAACCGCCAGCATGCATCAAACACAGGCCCGCCTGCTTGGCTGGGAGGGCTGCAGTGACCACGATTGGGCCACCCTGGCCGCGGTGACGGTGTTCTCACCCATCCCGCCGCCTTGTTGGTGCTGCGGCAGGTGGGTCAACAAGTTGATCATGCCCCAGCTGGTGAGGGACGACAGCCGAGTGCCTGAGGGGCGCTGACTATGGGGGGACAGGCTGCCTCAGCTGGCCTACGGCCTGCAGCCCGATTGGTGTTTCCTCCTCCGCTTCGCTCCGCTCATGCATCGGGCTGGCAAGAGGCATCTGCTTGGCCACTTGCACACATTTTTTTTTCCCGTGCGGCGTGCCCTTGCTTCCACCTAATGCAGCGCAACGAGATCCTCAGCCGCCTGCCACTGGGCAACTGGCACAGGTGAGTAGCCACATTCAGGCAGGGGAGGGCGCCAAAGGGCGTTGGCACGTGCTGCCCACCCCAGGGTGTCCACAGTTGCTTTCACGTGACATTTTCTCAAACCGTAATCGCACCCGCTCGCCCTTGCAGCACCGTCGCCGAATGCAAGATGCAGTTTGCAATCTTCACAGGTGGGTGTGGCAGCGGGGCACGCAGCAGGCGGCTGCCGATGATATTGTGGAATGCTGACCGGTGGTTGCAAACCTTTGACAGGGGCAGGACCCCCTGCAAGCGCTTTCAAGAGGTCCCTCCTCCCGCCTAACTCTGCCTACACACACACACACACACACACACATACACACACACGCATGCACACACACAAACACACGCACGCACACACACAACACACACGCACACACACTCGCACACACGCACTGACGGCTTCCATCTGCTACACTTACACGGATAAGTCAAATCTGCCCGCATTGACCTATCATTTTTGTGCATCACGCGTCCACCCTTGTTTTGTTTTTTGGTTTGCAGATGACCGGCCGCTGTTTGAGGAGGCGCTGTACGACTGGCGGCGCGTGATGGACGCATGGCTCTTCCCCCATGGAGAGTTCTGGGAGACCAAGTGAGGCTCGCGCCGGCGCGGGGTCCGGGGTGCGTGGCGCAGGCCGGCCCCTGCTTGGCCGCTGGCAGCGGCTGCGGTCTCGGCTGATGGGCGATGCAGCAGCCCCCGTGAAGCATCAGCACCCGGCGAGACGTATGTGCGAATTGGCAAACGCCCACAAACGCACCACCACGCTGGCCTCATATCCACCAGGCGCGACATCTACCACAGCCAGTTTGGCCTGGGCGGCCTTGTCCAGTTGGCTGAGCTGGCGTGGCAGCAGGGCGTCGACGTGTATGACTACTCAGACAGCAAGGTGCGTGAGTTTGGGCGGCAATCTGAAGTGCCACCATTTTGTGACAAAGTTCCTTCCATTTTTTGCAGTGGAACGCTCCTCTTGCCGCAATGCGCGCATCCTTCCGTCGAGACTGCGTCGCAGCCACGCCAGAAATGGATGCAGCTAGCCAGTTGGGACCGCAACAGTCGGGTCATCATCTTGGGCGCGTGCGCGCATGGGAAATCTCTGCCCCCCCTGCGTTGTCCGACAAACTGAGTAGACTAAGCAAGCAGTACTCGCGCCTGCAACCCCTTCTGATCTCGCGGGGATGTGCTCATGGTCTTCCCACTTGCTCTGCCAGTTGCGCATTGGGATGGAGTACCACGCTGACATCATCATGGGTGGAGTGCCCTTTTCATCGAATTGGTACAAGATCATTGGTAACGGGTTCCTGCCATGCGGTGAGTACACACACACGTACACACACGCGCATACACACAACAGCACGCATACACACACAACAGAAGCAGCAGCAGCAGCAGCAGTAACAGGTGTTGCGCTCACCCGATTGGGTGCCTCGCTGGGACCGCTCGCCAACAGGCGCAGCCGCGTCGTCGATGCAACGGAGCCAGCACCGACAGTCGCCGCGAGGACTGTGTGTTGGCGCGTTCTGCAGCACGGGTCGTAGAGCTGCCGAAGTGCGGTGCATGTGCGGTTAGGTCACGTTTATAGGCCGGGACCCCGTCAGGCTGTGCCCCATCTCGCGGCCCCTCTCACTCCCTCCCTGGCACTGCCTGCCCCTGGTGCAGGGTGGGAGGTGGGCTACAACCACTTCAACGGGCGTCGCGGTCTCCAGTGAGCTGGCCTGATCATCTCGTGGGGCGCACCGCTCAGAACTGCTTGATGTTGCCACATCAGCAGCCTTGAGGTGCATGCATGCACTCACTTGTACGTACACAAGCTTGTGTACTCAAAATCATACGCACAAACAAGACACTGACACACGTGCGCCTGCGTGCATGTGCACACGCATACGCAATCGAACCAGGCTGCCGATCACGGCCGGCATGCTCAACAGGAAACGTCCAGAGAAGTACGGTGGGTGGCGCCGTCCCTCCACCAGCCGGCTTCCCCTGCCCTGCATCTGACGCGCATGCCGCAGCATTTCGTGCGCCGGCAGCTCGCAAACAATTTCTGTCCACAGCCGTCCGGCAGTGACCTCCTCCCTGACTGGCGGCTCCCTGTCACATCTGAAGCTGCTTTCTAGGAAGCTCCCCGTGGGGACCGCCGTCTTGACCAACCTTCAACACCCGCGCCCCCTTCACGCACACTCTCTCGCGCACTCTCTCGCGCAGTGTTTCATTGGGGCCTCGGCACCCTCACGCACTTCCAGGCGGCGCGCGCCCTGATCAACGGCTTCTTCCCCGCCGGCGGCGGCGACGGCCGGCGGCCGGAGGCGCCGCAGGTGTACGTGCCGCGCTACTCGCAGGAAGGGTGGGACGACGACGACGGTAGCCACTCGGACGGCCCCCCGCCCGCTGTGCCCGCATCCGTGGCCAACGCGACCAACGCGACCGCCGGGAGGGACGCGGCCAACGCGTCCGCGGCGTCGGCGCGCGCAGCGGGGGCCGCTGGTGGCGCGGGGCCGGAGAAGACCGCCGCTCTGCACGGGACGGCCAGCATCAACGCCACGATCGGAGCAGCCAAGGCTGGCACAGCCGCCATCAAGGGCGCCCTGAAAGCCGGCGCGGCCGCCGCTTGGCTCCTGGCGGCGCCAGTCAAAGCCGGTCAACACCCTGCAGGCCCGACCGACCAGCAGGTGTCCTTGCTCGTTTCCATCAAAGCCGGCTGAGGGGCCAACGTCAAAGGAGAAGTCACACTTATCACCACAACAGCGCAGCCGGTAAAGGCGGACGGCAGTGCAGCTGTGCACACGGCTGCTGCCACGGTGTTTGCAGGGAGCCAGGGCGCGGCTGCTGGCGCCAGATTTGCCGGCTCTGCGACCCGGGCACAGGGGCTAACAGCGCGCGTCAAGGCGCTTGCGGCCAACGCAACTGCGTTTGTGGCCAACACGACTGCCATTGTGAAGTGTCTGGGTGCAGCCAGGAGCTAGCATCCTGGGTGATGCAAAGCACGTGTTTTCAGGGCCCGCGGCAACAAGGTGACTTTAAGCTTCTGGTATCTCGCCAGTTTACAGTTTGTGTGTTTTCCTTGTCCCTTGCCACATGTGGGCACACGTTTGCCGCTTATGCTCAGGGGACAATTCTCTCCTACTCTCTCTTCTTTGATTCGCATTGCCATACAGCAAAGCCGGCACGCTGGCCCTCCTGGCACAGCTTTCAGCTGAAGCAGTCCAGCAGAGGTTGAAATCAACATCACAGCTTTGCACGCGGCTTCGTGCAACTGCCTGCTTCTCTCATTGCGAGGCTACCCTTGACTTTCTTTGGCTTTCACAGTATTGGTGTTAAAATAAGCGCGCATATGCGAATTGCGTGTAGCTGCACAAGGCCTGCACCATGCCTGTTGCGGCCACGACATGCGTGCAGCAGCCCAGCTGGTCTGCTGTCTTGGGTGCGCAGCCACCTTGCAGGGCCTGTCCCACCGCACCGCAGCATCAAACCAAGGGCGCATGGCTCCCACCTTTCCCCTGGCTCAGCATTTGAATGGCCCACAACGGTCGCTATCGCGCGACCTTGCCTTTTGCGCCCTGTTGCTGGCCTGCTCTGCTACCCGTCATTCTATCTGCATACCGTGTCCATTCACTGTGAACAGCTCTTTGCAACAGGCAGTCACTACATGTCTCTGGCTCGTCTGCACAGAACACGCTTGGTGTTTCTTGTGACGCAATGCCAGGATATCAAGCCAGCAATGTAGACGGTCCGAATTCATGCATGGATGCCAGAGTCAATCAGGAGCGTCCCCAGTCCACACAAAAAGTTGAGTGCCCAGACCTCCAGCGGCCACTACCAGAACCTTTGGCACGCAAAATAACGAGTAGTGCGACGACAATACGTTTGATGCAGGTGGCTGGTCGTGGATCCCTGCCAAAGCAGAGCTGCTAGCTCTAGGTTAGTCAGTACTAATTACGTGGCTGGCTGGTTCACGTGTGCCATTGTATGACTAGAAGACCTCTGGGTACCTCTTCATGGAGTGTGGAGCGTCCCATATTGTGGTCTGCCGGCTGCATTGCTGTCACATCGCTGTACGTGATCTATCCCTCCAGCTGCTTGTGACGATTCTCGGCGGTTCGCTCTTTTCCTGTCATTTGATTGGTTGCAAATGAAACAACACAAGCAACCTGTATAATTCCAGGTCGCGAGCAGGGCACGCCTTGAGCCGACGTCCAACCACCAGCTGGGTGCAGTAGCTGCTGCTGCTGCTGCTGCTGCCGCACAAAACCGAGCCAGCCCGCGCTGCAGCAGCTCGGCCGCCCTCCACCACCCATCGCCGGCATGGCGGGGGTGGTGACTAGCGAGGTGGCTTTCACAAACAGCCGCGGGCAGAAGCTGTTTGGGGTGGAAGTGCTGCCGCCGGCGGGCGCCGCAAAATGCGTCGCCATATGGGCGCACGGGCACGGGGACCACTGCCGCCGCAAGCTGAAAGGTGCGGGTGCGGCACGCCTGTCCCCGCACGCGGCCAGCAGCAGCGGCCCCGCCACCCGTCCCGGCCGCGCGCGGCGCCGCAGCCGATGGCCTGGTGGGTGCGCACGCGACCCTCAAAGCCAACCTCAATATATTGAGGGGATTCGCTGGCAGGAGATCACTCGAGGGGCACCTAGTCAAGCCCCTTGCCGCAGCTGAACCCCCCACCTTCTGCCAAGCCAGACCAGCATCTGCTCGCTGCGCGCCGCCCGCTGCGCCGTGCCGCGCCCGTCCGCAGTGTTTGAGTTGTGGGCGGAGCGCGGCGTTGCAACATTCGCGTTTGACGCGCAGGGCTTCGGAGCTTCTGAGCCGGCTGACCCGCAAGAGCGCGGCCTGGTGCAGAGCATGGGCCATTTGGTGTGCAGCAGCAGCGGCTGCCGAGGCGGCAATGACGATAACGGGGGAATCGACGGAGGGGATCCTCTCGCATGCCACACATGACCCTTCACACACTCTCACACCCTGCCGGCGGGTGCACGACCGGACGTCGTGAGTTCTGCAGGCGCGCGCGCGTTGGCAGGCGTGATCTTGCATTATGTGAGGCGCCGTTCAACCTGACAACGAGGCCTGATGATCTTGGGTACGACCCCATGACCCATTGACAGGTGGACGACATGGCCGACTATGCAGCGTTTGCTGAAAAGCGCCACAAGGAGCTTGAGCCGCTGCCCTGGTTTGCGGGCGGCAACGGCGTCGGCGGATTGGTGAGCTGCACGCGCGCCGCGGCGCGCTGCTCTGCGTTGCGCCGTCTCGTCGAGGCGTGCTGGGCCCAGAAATCGAACGCTCTGCCTTTGCGTGCGTGCGGGCAATTCTGCTCGGCCGGCACAGGGCCGCCGCCCGCGGCCGCGGCAGACCGCGCAGCCGCCCATCCGTGCGGAGCGGGACGCGTATTGACATGCCATGCGCACGTGCGCGCGCGCGCGCAGGTGGCGGCGCTGACCGTGATGCGCTGGCAGGACCAGTGGGCGGGGCTCGTGCTGTTTGCGCCCGCGGTGGGCTACCGGCTGTCGCCCCGCCTGAAGTGAGTGCAGGGGGCCCGAGTGGGCCGCGGCCCTGAGCGCGCCAGTGGCGGAGGACGTGGGGGTTGAGCGAGGGCTTGGGCTGGGGCTTCCACAGAGCCCCTGCCGCTCACTGGCAGCCCCATCTCCCCCATCTTGAACAACTAACGGTAACAGTTGGACCCAGCATCCCCGCCGCCGCTCCTCACCGCCGGCCCCGCTGCGTCCCCGGGCCGCGGCGCCGCGCCTACTCCCCCACCTTCCTGCCAGGTTCCAGCGGTGGCTCGGGCCCTGCCTGGACTGCGCCGCGCCGCGCGCAAAGCTCGGCCAGCGCCACGCAGCGGCGGACCTCAATCCAGACCCAGAGGCGGTGCGTGCCAGTGTGTCGGGGGCCGGCTGGCCGTTCAGCTCCCCTCCCTTGGCGCCGGCAGGGGTGCACACTAAACATGTCATGGGACGCAGCTTCCCAGGCGTTCAGAGGGGCATTGATCAGCGCGTCGGAGCCGCGACGGGCTGGCGCCCCCTGATTCGTGCGCCTTGCTGCCTGCGCAGCGCGATGGGCAGGGCCCACATACATGTTCACCATCGCGTGCGCATGCGTCTCCTGACTTTGCAACATGCACAGCTGCATCCTGCGGCACACACACACACGCACACACGCGCGCCCGCGCGTGTGCGTGCACACATACATACACGCACACACACATACACATAGACATACACATACATACGCACACGTGCGCACACGCACGCACACACACACCCTGGGCCCCGCAGGTGGCCTCCTTCTCGTCGGATCCCCTCTGCAGCCCGGGCCCCATACGCGTGCGCACTGCCTTCCAGTATCAAAGGGGCATCGACGCCCTGGATCTGATGGCGACCAAGATCCGCCTGCCCATATTCTGCGAGCACTCCCAGGGCGACAGGGTCGCTGATTGGGAGGTGCGCCGAGCTCCCCGCGCGCGGGCCGGCGTCCCCGCGCCACAGGGGCCGCCCGAGGGCACCAGCGGGGGGGCGTTCAGGCGTGGGCACGGCTTGGGCTGCGGAGAGTCCTTGTGTTGGGTGGTGTCGTGTTGGAGCTCCGGACCCCGCATTTACGCCAAATCGCATTCACACCACAACCGACTCTGGCCTGCGCCATCCGGCCAGGCATCCCGCGAGTTCTGCGCCAGCGTCGGCTCCGAGGACGTCACCTGGCTCGCCCCGGAAGGTGGGCAGGCAGCTTCCGCACGGCTGCCGGCTCTGCACCCTCGATGCTGTGCCGTTGATGCGTCCTCCGACCTTGCAAGGGCTTGGTTCCTTTCAATGGTGGCCGCGACAGGTGGCGGGCCGGCCACGCCCTGGCTTCTGCGTGGTCCTGCAGCGGCAGGGAGCCGCCTCCGTTCTAGTTGCTTCACCCTTCGCACGTGCCGCTGCGCCCACCCTGACTCGACGCGCCGCAGGCGGCTGCCACGACGAGCTGTCAGGAAAGCGGGCGCTCGAGTTTGCGGGGCGGATCGCCGCCTGGCTGCTCAAAAAGTCGGAGCCCAGAAAGGAGGAGCAGGCGGCGGCCGCCGCAGGTGGCGACGACAAGGGCGCGGTCGCGGCGCCCGCTGGGGCCGACGAGCCGCGAGATGCCTGAGAGGCGCCGTCCTTGGCGGCGGCCGGCGTTGCGCAAGGCCGGGTTGCAAGCCTGGCGCTCGAATGCAGGCGGCTCCGGCGGCCGGGTTTACCGGTACGGCCGCCGGCGACGAGGATCCACGAGGATCCACGGGCGCACTCTTGCCAAGTCTTCGGGCCCGCGTGTCGATTGTGGTTGCAGGGCTTTTGCAAGCCCGGCCCTGCACGGGTTCGCAGCGTTTTCATGGCCCAGACTGCTGTTTACCCAGCGTGCGGCCCCAGCGGCCCTTCGGCCCTTCTTCCATGCGACTTCAATGCTGTTTGAACTGCCCCCGGCTGTGCCGTCGCCCCAGCCAGGTGAATGGGTGGTTCGGCGGTGCTGCGCCCTTGCTCCTTGCTATGCTGCCTTGGACCCCTTAAACACAATAGACCTGCACTGCTTGTTCACGCGTGGCTCTTGCCTGCCTGCCGCCTCACCATGGCCATGATTGCCCGATACTCATCTAATTTGTGGGTGGCGCCTGACTCGCAATTAGTGTTGTGGCCCCGCCAAAGTCCCTCCTATTAGCCTGAGCCGACGATGCTTGTGCGGCGCTTGCCCTCTGCAGGCGCCGACCCCTCGCACAACTTTGACGATTGCGTTGTTTGCTGCTCGTGCGTTGCAGCACGCTGCTGCTGGCCCTCGCGCCTGCCCTGTTGTGTGTGACAAGCGCAAACATCGATCGTCCCACAAAGCGGGCCGTCTTGTGTAGGCGTTACTCAAAGTGGGCGGGCCCAACGTGGTGGTTGGGACGCTGGCGGCGGGGGCGCAAGCAGCTGCAATGCAGCTTCAGCAAAACTGCAGCTTCCCACCAGCATCCTCCCAAATGCTGAAGCCCCTCAGTCGAGGCCGTCGTCAGACGAAGCTTCCGAGTAGCTGCCCGCCAGCCGCCGCAGCCGCTCCTCCACCTCCTCCACCTCGCCGGCGCCGTAGCCCCACCCGTCCAAGACGCTGCGCCCCGACGCCGACCGCGACGCGCGCCGCAAGCCGTGCGCGCGGGACTGCAGCCACGCCTCGAAGTCCGAAGAAGCGGCGACACGCGTCAGCACTGGGCACGACGCCACGTGGCGCCCGTCGCACCCCGCCCCTGCCGCTGCGCCGTCTGACACCGCCCCGCCGGGGGCCCACTCCGAGACAACGCCGCCCGCGGGGCCAACGTGCGGCCCGAAAATGCCTGGGAATGGCAGCGGGATCGGCAGCGGCGCCGCCGCGACGCACCGGTGCACCACGCAGCGGCGCTGCGGCTCGGACCTTAGAGCGCTATCTAGTGCCGCCGCCGCCGCCGCCGCCGGTGACGTTGAAGCCGCGCCACCGCCGCCGCCGCCGCTGCCGCTGCCCTCTGCCAGCAGAGCGCCCCTCAGCACGACAGACTCCGCCAAGGAGGAGGCAGGCGCCAGCCGCAGCGCCGCCGCGGGCCCGGGCGCCAGCACGGCAGCGTGCCGCAGTGTCGAAAGCTGGTACGCCGCCCGCTGCTGCTCCGCGCCCGCCGTGCCAGCCGCCGGCCCGCCGTTGCCGCCGCCGCCGCTGGCCCTCTGGGGCTGCTGCTGAGCCTCTGCCACTCGCGTGTCACCCCTCTGCTGCGCGGCCCAGTCGTCGCCACCAGCAGCGCCCGCGGGCAGCTGCATGGCAGCTGCCGCGAAGTTGGCGCCGCCGTGGCCGGTGAGCAGGTTCACCCAGGAGTGCATGTCTGTCGCGCCGATGGGCGCGCCGACCGCAGATGTCGAGGCTGCGGGGGTGGAGTTAAGATGTGGGCGCAGGGAACAAAGCAGGCAGAAAATGTGCGCATGCAACGAGGCCCAACGGTGTGCACCCAAGATTGGTCTCCGCCTGTCAGAAACCGCCTGCAGACATCATTATGGAACGGCAGAGGCGCGGCTCCTATTCCAAAATGTCCTTCATGCGAGCGACTCACACGCCATCCGCAACGGCAGCGTGAGGGTGTCGACCGCCGCCGCCAGCAGCGCCGCCTCGTGGTATGCGCTCGGCCGCGGCGGCAGCCGCAGCAGCGGCAGCTGCCGCGCGGCCGCCGGCGGCAGGCAGAGGGGCATGTACAGGGACACGCGCTCTGACAGCTCTGCGCAGGCCAGGGCGTCGCTCAGCGCAGCCCTGCTCTCGGTGTCGGCGTGTGGCGGAAAGGCGGGTGCGGTTTGCAGCCATGGGGGCGAGATATTGGAGTCAATGGAGTCAACAGAAGACAACAGCGCACACTGGATGGACTGTGTAGTTGCCCAAAACCAAACCCCAGCATCCACGATAACACCAAGCACAGCCCCAGCCTGCCCCTGAACACTTTCAAAAGGCTCAACCCAGCACCCACATGACGCCCGCAACGCCGCCGCCGCCGCCGCCACCGCCAGCGGCGGCCCCGGCAGCGCCTCCCGCCTCCCGGCCGCCCTCGTGGCCCGAGCTTCTCAGCGAGAAGTGCAGGATCTTCACGCCGGGAAGTTCCTCGCGCAGCTCGTCAAGCACAGACCTGGAGAGGGCCCCGAAGCCCGTCAAATCGTCAGAGAACAACTGGACGCCTGGGAGGGGGGGCGGCAGGCGAGCACGGCGGTTTGCCGCGATTTGCGCGAGGGCGACATGTGGCTGCAGCGGCGCAACACGCCCGACTGGGGCGTGGGATGTGCCTCGCATTGAAAAGCTTGAAGGTCTCCATTGTTGACAAGCAAACCGATGCATCCCGGAATAAAACGTGCAACTGCCTCGCCTGCGGCTTGCCGTTGTGCCACTGTGCACCAGGCAGGCCTGGGCAAAGCCTGCGCAGCCGACGCAACAGCCCTCGCAAGGGTGGACGCACCTTGTATGCTGTCGCACTGCTCGCTCCACCAGCGCGCCCCGTCCACCACCCCCTCCACCACTGCCCGCGTGCCATGCGGCAGCGCCTCGGCGGCGCCATAACCCTCAAACGCCGCCGACGCCCCCTGCCACACGCCGGGCAGCGCCTGCACGCTCCTGGGGTGCAGCCGCGCTTTCAGGTAGTCAGTCCAGAACCTGACGCCGCGGCTGGCGCTGGATTGGGAGGCCGCTGCGCCGCCGGGCGGGTGGGGCGCATCCAGCTGCCGGGCGGCTTCCTCAAGGGCCGCTTGGTGGCGGGCAAAAGCAGACTCAGGCTCTACATTGCGACAAGGGGGGTAGCGGATGAGTGGCATTGCAGGAGCAGCTAGGGATCCTGCAAAGCGTAGCGTCTCTGAACTGCAGATAGAATGGCATGTCGCGTGCATGCCAGCGAACGTGCAGCGTGGCTGAGTGGTGTGAGGGGGGGTCCCGACGGCGCACTAGGGGGCCTGACGCATGGGCGGTCTGCGCGGCGACGCACCGCGGTCAAAGTCAACGGCGGCCTGCGCCTCCAGCTGCTGCACGAAGGAGCTCTTGGGGATGGGGCCCGACGCAAACACCTCCACGCCGCCGCCCCACGTCGAGACGCCCGCCGCGCCGGCGGCCGCGCCGCTGCGCGCGTCGGGCCCGAACGCGACGCCTGCGGGGGTGCGGGTGCGCTCGAGTCGGTGGCAGGTGGAACAGTGCTCGCTGGCGCAGCCCACCCCTGGACCCTCGATTTGGAACATCCTAGCAAGCTGCTTGGCAACGTGGCATATCACGAGACACCTGACCGAGAGTCTCCTTGAGGCATGCTCAGGCTGGCGGCCTCACCTCCGGTTGCGCCGCTCACATCCAGAATCACCGTCCTCGGGTAATAGCTGAGCGCCCCCTGCGAACGTGGTGCGTTTGTGTTGTGAGCGTCAACGCTACTGTTAACACATGCTAATCGGCTGCCGTGCATGCGTGTCACGCCATTTTCGGCGCCGCCTGGGCGCATGGGAGGCCTGCTTGGCCCCAGGCTCTGCATGCAGCTGCCCGCTCGGCCTCACTTGCCGGTCCTCCGACCAAGCAAACAGCACGTCATCATCAGTGCAGCCGCCACCGCTGCTGACAGCTTGGCCAAGGGCCTCGTCCTGGGAATGGGAATGGGCGCGTTGATGCGGGCAGCAGCACCAGCACGAGCCGCAGCGGCGAGCAGCGTGCAGCGGCAGTGAGGCGCGTGCGGAGTCCGCAGGGCCCGCTGGGCGTAGTCGCGTTTAATGGATACCCACCTGAAAGTTCCAAAAATGAGCCCCGGTGTAGTTGGCGAGCGATCCAAGCTGCAAAGAAATGATCTCGCGCATGTCGACAAATTTGCTGTCGCACGGCTCTGCTTACATGACTTGCAATCTTGTACACAAAGGGCAAATTATAAACCGAAGCGTTAAGCAACGCGCAGTGGAACACAGCCTGCTCCATGTATGCACAGTATGCTGCACTGCAGGAAGCCAGGTGCGGTTGAAACCTCATTTGTGCAGACATAGTGCGTACACAAAGAGCGCTGCATTATACCAGACGTGGCGCCACGAGTTTCAATGGAGTGCGGCTTCTCACCCGCCACCCATAGCAACTGGCGCAAGGTCAAAGTAGGTCAACCAAACTTGGCTGTGCACTGTGTCTGGAACACACGCACAGTGTCCTAGCTGATCTGATGCAAGGAGTCACACCATCTTCCAGCCGTATGTGCCAGTGGGGCTGCTGCAAACTCCCAGCTTGACGTGCTGATGAGGCCAGCGCCACACCACCCGTTCTTGCTGAAACTTCTGATTTCTTTCTTCAGGCAGAGGTATTGGTACAGCAGCAGCGCCCAGCAACAATCAGAATCTGCCAAGGCTGAAGACTGACACCGCGGTTTCTCACCAGCACGAGCCCCCCGCCGGCCTCACGTCAAGCAAGCGGTGCCTTGCACGCACAAGTCAGAGTCAGACCTCGGAGTCCGCTTCAGGGTTGGCAACGCACCAAGTTTCGAGGTGCAACATTGAGGTCCTGCCGCTGTGGCTGCCGCGGCACCTGCACCCCTCCCACCATGTCAGGCGCGCAGTCGGGCGCCCCTGCATGTCCTTCGCCACGCAAAACACCCCGCTGGCAACAACAATCCGCTCGCTGCGCGTGTCACTGCGGTTTACAGCCGTGCGGCGCCCACGACCACCACGCGCGGGCGGCCGCGCTGCTCCAGCAATCACCAATAGACAACGCCCGCATACTCTTTCACGTACTCTGGGCCCCGCTCCTCATACTCGTCTCTCGTCAGCGCGCCGCCCCACCCGCCGCCCGCGCCGCCGCCGAACGCGCAGCCCGCGACGTGCGCCGCGCCGCGCCAGGGGTCAAGAGCGGGCCGCTCGCTGGCGACGACGCGCATCGGGGAGCCGTAGGGCAGGCGGGCGGTCAGGTCGGACTCCAGGCGCCGCGCAAGCCCTGATTTGTGCGGCCGCCGCATCAGACAATTGAGATGGGTGGGCGTGCAAGGGTCAGTGCATCGAAACGTACAGCAAAAAGCAGGCGGGTGTGCGCACATGGGGTGCTCGAAAACAAGGTAGCCATGCCAGCCGCCAGTTTCTGAGAATTGGAGTCCCTCACAGCCAATCCAAGGATCCGTCCATACGCCCCCGCTGCGCCCAGCAGCCTTTCGACCACCCTTTGACTTTCACAGTATCGCCGGCCCCATGCAACGCCGCGCCGCGCGACGCGCTCACCGGGGAAGCCGCTGCCGCCGCCGACGAGCAGCAGGCCGCCCGCGATGCACGCGGCGCGCTCCTGCGCGGACAGGCGCCCCAGGCACGACTCAACCAGCTCGGGCAGCCCAGCCTCGTCAAGTCCCGCCAGCGGCGGCTGCAGCAGCACCTCGGGCACCCTGAAGCGCTCGACTCCCAAAAGGATGTAAGACGCATCCCCCTGGGCGGCCGCTGTCGCTGCTGATGCGGCCGCCGCCGCGGGAGCTTCCGGCGTGGCGCCGCGCGCCAGGGCGGCTGCCGCGGACGGCTCCGGCGTGCCGCGCGCGCTGGCGCCGGGGGTGACGGCGGCGGCCACGGCGCCGCGGATCGCGGGCGTCGCCGCGGCCGCGTGCGGGGCACCGGCCCCCGGCCCGCGCGGCTGCAGCGGCGCCAGCAGCGGCGCGAAGGCGCCGCCGCTCGTATCCGCGCCATCGCCAAAGCCGCCGTCGGCGGCGCCTCCAGCCGCCTCACCGCCTGCCGCGCCGAGGGGCCCCTGCGCTGCTGTCGCGGCGCCGTCGTCCCCTCCGATCTGCTTCAACCGCTCCGCGAGCCAAGCGAGCTCCTCTTCCTCGGCTGCTTCGGCCTCTGCAGGGGTCCGGTGATGGCACCAGGGTGTCGGTGACGTCACCAGGGTGACGCATTGGGGGTGGGATGGTCAGGGTGGCGGAACAAGGACGAAACCCTTACATGCTGCCTCATAACAGCAGCAGTCGCAGCAGTCGCGGCCCTGATTTGTGGCCCAGCGGCAGCAGAGGTTTGACCCACTGCACAACAATCCATCACGAGCGGCCCGTGTCATTCTTATTAGGATGCTGCTCACGGCGAAGCCCCGCCCGCTGTTGGTGTGCCCCGAGCAGGCGAACCAGCAGCCCTGTGCAGCTGCCCTGCAACTTCACCCCCGCCAGCTTCCCCTCAGCTGCCCGCCCCTGCAGAGACCACACCCACCTGAGTCGCTGCTCTCTGGATGCATCTGCCTATAGACGTCCCAGTCAGCGTCGTCCGCGCCGAACCCGTCGTCCTCGCTGCTGCCGTCGCGGCCGCGCCGCTGCTTGCCGCTGGGGCCGCCCGCCTTGGCGCCGCCGCGCTTCTTCTTGGCGCCGCCGGCCGCCTGCGCCAGGAGGCGCATGCGGGCCCTGCGACCGCGGGCAACGACGCGGGGAGCAAGGGGGCGCGCGCGCGTTGGCGCGAATTAGCTGCAATTATTGGGAGGGGTGAGCGCATAGCTGAACGAGCACAATTTTAAGCACAGCGGAAACTGCAAGTGCGTGGCTGTTCCAGGGAGCCCGCTGTGACCCGTGGTGCGGCGCCACCAGGTGATAGCAGGTGCACGGCAGCAGCATGGGAGGGGGAGAGGGCAAAGGCCCCGCCTGCCGGCGTCGCAGCTGTGGGTGTGTCCGAGGCAGCACAGGCAGCCCAACCACCCTGATCACGTGTGCTCCCTGCCCCCCCGCACCTCTTTTCCGAGTCCATCCTCTGGCTCCCCCCCCGCCGCCCTGCCCCGTCCCCGCCCGCCGCCGGCAGCCCCAGCCGCCGCCGCCGCCGCGCCTCCGCCCGTGCCGCGCCGGCCGCCACGCGCTGGCGCAGGCCGACGACGTACCCCGCCGGGTCCGCCGCGCGCGCCGCGTCCTCCCGCGCCTGCCTGTCAGCTAGGAACCGCAGCCGCTCCTCCTTCCGCGCCGCCGCGCGCGCCTTGCCCTCGATCGACGCCTTTGTCGACGCCTGCCGCCGCTTCTCCCTGCGCTGCTCCTCGGTCAATTCGGCATCAGGGATCCCCAGCAGTGGATAAGGATTCTCCGCAGCCGCCTCGCCGGTCCCCGGGCCGCCCGCCTCTCCTTTCCCATCGCCGCCCTCGCCGCCGCCCTCGCCGCCCTGCTGCTGCTGCTGCTGCTGCTGCTGCTGCTGCTGCTGCTGCTGCTGCTGCTGCTGCTGCTGTTGTTGCTGCTGCTGCTGCTGCTGCTCGTCCTCCACCTCCATCGGCTCCTCCGAACCCTCCCTCGCGCCGCCCTCCGCGCCCGCCGCCGCCGCCGCCGCGGCGGCGGCGGCGATGGTGGCCGTGAGCTTCTCGATCTGCTGCTGGGCCTCTGATATGTACTTTTCCAAGTCGGCGACGTCCCTGAACTGCCCGCCGGCGAGCAGCTGCCGCTTAGCTTCCGCGTCATTGGTCGAGTCGACCTGCGGAGAGGGGGTTTTGATGGGGAGGGAGGGAGGGGGGGGCGGGGGTCGCAGCTTCTGCTGGGAGGGGAACGGCGGCGCG